CCTGCCGCTGCCGCCGTGGACCTCTTTGGGGGGCCTCCCTGGGGGGGCGCCCTCACGGCCACGGCCGCGCCCGCCTCGAGGCACGAGGCCCCAGGGGAGACCCCCGGGCTTCCACTCGGAGGGCCTCCTCCCCCTATCATGCGGTCCGGGGAGGAGCTCGGGTTCCCCTTTTGGGGTTTCCCTGGAGGCCCTCGTCGCCACCGCTGGATTCGCCTCGACACTTCTTGTCAGGACGCGCCCCCTGGAGAGGTCCCGGGAGTAGCGGTATCTGTACCCTTTGGTTCTCCATCTATAGGCTTTCCAGATGGGGTCGGAGTTGATGGGGTCGGAGGAGGGCGCCGATGCATCGACGTTGCGGCTCGATGCGGAGCCCGATGTTCTCCGCGCCAGCGTCACCGATGCACCGCCGATGTCGCCGCTGCATCGTCGATGGATCTCGCCGATGCATTGGCGATGCGGCGCGATCTTTCGACCCCAGTATTCGGACCCATCTAGGAGGCCTCTATCCTCCAAGTCCTTTTCGCTCCTCCCTCCCTCCCCCTGCTCCCCCCTCTCCCCCCTCCTCCCCCCTTACATCCCTGCGCGCGAGCGCCGGTGCGCGTGGAGGGACGGCGGGGGGGGGGGGGCAGCCCTCCTCCTCGTCCTCCTCCTCCTCCTCCTCCTCCTCCTCCTCCTCCTCCTCCTCCTCCTCCTCCTCCTCCTCCTCCTCCTCCTCCCCCTCCCCCTCCTCCTCCCGCTCCGCCGTTGGTGGGGGTCATCTTTTCTCCGCCCCTGGTGGGGCCCCCGTCCGAGGCCCCGGCCTTCTCTTCCCCCGAGGGGCCGGCTCGTCCTCCCGAGTTTTGGTGGTTGTCGTGGGGGTCGGCGGTCGGCGGCCTCGCGCGGGCCCGGCGGGGGCGGGGGCCGAACACGGCGAGGTTTGGGTCGGGCAGGGCTTCCTACCGGCGGCTTCGGGGCGGGAGACATAGCAGCATCCCCCAGCAAGAGCAAAAATAGTCGAAAGGGGTGGAACAGACGTCCCCTGATCATTTTTTGAGGCCAGCCCAGTGGCTGAGACGGCTCATGTCTGGAGGAGCGCCCACAACGGTCGTCAAGTCGGCCCCAAGACTTTCGCTAAGGCAAAAGGAATCGTCAGCTCAGCTCCAACACTTCGTTCGTAAAGACGAGAGGAGCCGTCAACTCGGCCCCGACATTTCGCTCGTCAAGACCGAGGTCGTGTTTAACCATCAGCTCGGCCCCGACCCTTTGTTCGTCACGACGGAGGGTCTGGCGAGGGGGCCGTCAAGGTGGTCATAAACTCGGAGGGAGGGCGTCCCGGGTTTCGTCACCCCAGAGGGAGGCCGTCAAGGGGGTTCGTTAATGGGGTTCGTCAACTTGGAAGGGGGCCGTCAAGGGTGTTCGTCAATTCGGAGAGAGGCCGTCCGTCAAGGGAGTTCGTCAACCCGGAGTGAGGCCGTCAAAGGGGTCCGTCAACTCTGAGTTGACGGCCAGATTTTCTCACGATGATGGGATTGGCGGCCAAATCCTCGCACGAAGATGAAGTTGATGAGTCAAGCGCGGGATACATGGTCATCCGTCGTGGCGTCCAGACCCACCTCCAGACCTGCCGCCCGCGACAGACCTACACTTCCTGTCCCAAAGATGCCTGAAGATCCCTCCTGCAGAGGGGCATGCCCGACTTCAGGCGAGGCCAGACGTTCGCACCCGTGGCCCAGAGTTCAGCGTCAGGGTCGAGGGCAGCAGGACTGGGGGTCGAGGCTTAGATCGAAGCTGGCCAGCCAGCGGGGGCCTCTGAGGACAGCGGCGGGCGGTGCGGCGGCGCCTTCACCTCGGGTCTGTCCCCCCCCCCCCCCCCCCGCCGGCCTCCCACGGCTTGCCCCGCGTGATCTGTGCTGCCGACCCACGATGGGTGGCGGATCCAGCGTGTCCACGCCGCGTGAGGCAGGTCAGATTTTTGCACTGCCGGGTGCGCCGTTAGGAGTCAGCGGGGGCAATCGGGCAGGTGGCAAAGGGGGGGGGGACCCTAATGAGGGGTGACGAGAAGGACAAGGGCCTTAAAAGGGCACTTTAGGGTTTTCGTTTCTTCCCCCCCCCACGATGCACGTTAGCGACGCCAAGAAGCGGGGCCGTCTGCGCCGACCATTTGCGCGCAAGCTGGCCGCGCAGGGTCACGCGCAAGCGCCCTCGTCTCTGATGTGGCGCGCCGCGCCGGCGACCCACGGAAACCGCCGCGTAAGATCGCTGCGCCACCTCGCGCAAATCCTGTTTTCGATCGTCGCTCACGCGGGAATCGAGGTACAGTCGGGGCGTTGACCCAACGAACCCTAAAATTAGGAACGAGGCCCCTTCTTCCCATGAGTTAAACTTCGATTTCCCATCGAAACCCTAAGCAAAACCAGAGGCGAACTGCAAAACAACTGAGGAACATGAACACCGAGCCCCTCCCCAACGAAAAGGTTCCTTCCTCCGCGCCCCCGACGGTATAGCTCAGGGCACGGAGGGCGGCGCGCGGATATTGGCGCGACGGGGATAAGCAGAGGCCAGCGCGCACTGTGGCCGGGAGCGCGGCGGCCCCCTGGCCTCGCAGGCGCCCGCGTGCCGGATCCACCGATGTTCGGGTCGGGCGAAAGGGGGGGATTGGGAAAGGAGGGGTTGCGAAATTTGCTGCATGCAGCTGGTTTCGGCCTCACCGAGGGGCCCATTCCTCGATACATAGCCGCCTCCGGCGCCGGGAGGCGCCGGGAAAATCAGCTACGTGAGCTGATTCTCAAACCCCCTCTTTGCTATCCCCCCCTTTCGCCCGACCCGAGATGTGCTTGGTCCGTGCCGGCGCGTGCCTGCAAGGGGAGCAGGGGGTGCGTGGGACGGGGAGGGTCACAAGCATACGCTCGTGACCATGGCTCGGCATCGCTCGGACGTGTGCATTTTTCCTTCGGCGAGGACCATCGAGGAGCATCCTTGATCGTTTGGCGAAAAAGCCACGCACGAAGCCGAACAAAGCACACGGAATGGACGTCCGAGCGATGGCGAGATGGTGCTTCTCAGCATGCCCAGGATTATCTCGGATCTCCCACCGTCCCGCGCGAGCTCGAGAGCCGAGGGCCACAGGATGCCGCGGAAGTCGGGGAGTGTTAGGTACCCTGAGCCAGTCGCCTCATGGCGTCGTGCTGGAGTTCTCGTCTCAGAGGTGGCTCTCCCTGAGCGTTCCTACAGCGCCCCCCCCCCCAGGGTTCATTCCGACTCCTCCGATTCCATTGGGTTCGATCTCGATGGCTTCCCGATCCCGATTCGACTCGGCTTGGGAGTGCGATCTGGCTTCCGCTGCCTCAGCGGAGGCCTGCATGGCATGCCGACCTTCGCCGATGCGACTCGTCCTGACTTGGTTGTTTTTGCCGACTTCCGCCGATCCGATTCGCGTGGATCGCAGCTCCGAGAAAAAACATAATAAGAAAACGACAGAACAAGCAATCGAGCCGATTGCGAAGGCCTTGCGGCCGGTGCCGCCGACCCTGAAGACGAAGCTGTCTGTGACGCCGTGAAAGCCGAAACGTCGTAGATGCTAGAAGTGTAAGTTCCCGGTGGAAAAGTAATGAGTGTGGCCTCTTGGGCCCTTGCTGGGGGTGCAAAACAAGCAATCGAGCCGATTCTGCGCTCCCCGCCCCCCCCCCCCCGGCTGCCAGGCCGCGGCGGACAGGCCCGAGCCTCGTGCGGCGCCGGACTCCCTGAGGCCGGGCTCGGCCGGCGGCGGGGGGCCCGCGCGCGCGGCCCGCCCGCCCGCCGGGTTCGGTGCGATCGACATTAAAGTAGGGCGGATCCGGAGTCAGGGTTGTCCCTCCCCAGGCATGGTCGCGTCGGGGAAGGAAAAACAAATCAGGGCGGGAGGTTTGTTGCCATGTTCGGCCCCGGGGGGCCCTCGCCGGGCCCCGGGACCGTCAAAAAACGACTCAGGACGGAAAACCGGTCCCGGGGAGTGGATCGGGACTTGCCGGGACGCCGCAGGGTCGGCCACGCGTAAGTCGACATTGGCAGGGTCCCTCGACAGGAGGAGTAATTACTCCAAATCAGTCGCCAAAAATAGTCCGGGGGCGATGTTTCCATCATGTCTCCAGAATGCTTGAATTTTCTTTTGCGCGTCTTGTACGTTTCCTCCAAGCTCTGCCTGTAGGAGGACAGGGCCTACCTTGTGGTAGGCGGGGCCACACGCAGGAGTGACCTCTCGCTGGAGTGATCTTTGGTGTGGGCAGGCAGCGGCTGGGGTCCCCAGATGGCTGCGTGCTATGCGACAGCAGCAGCGGCTTGCGCGCTCCGATTCGGCCTCCTCGGGCCGAACGAAAGGGGGGGATAGGGAAAGGGGGGGTACGAAATTCTGCTGCGTGCAGCTGGTTTCGGCCCCGCCGCCGGGCCCATCCCTCGACACGTGGGCGCCTCCTGGCGCCGGGAGGCGCTGGGAAAATCAGCTGCGTGAGCTGATTCTCTACCCTACCCTTTTCTATTCCCCCCGCTCGTTCCCCCCGACCTCCCCGCGGCCCCCGAGGGTTGCGCACTGGAGGTCACCCGTGCCCGAGGGCACCCTTGCGTGCAGCCGGAGGACTCGGTTGGACCGAATGGCCGGCGGCGGCTTTGCGAGCGCGGGTGGTGAACCAGCAGCAGTCGTCTACGGGAGTCGGGAAATTGGCGGCATCGGTACCTCTCACAGGAACGGGTATCGCCACCCTTCTCCCGGTTTCCCCATTGGGGGCCTCTTGGGAGGCCCTCGTCGCCCCCGCTGGATTCGCTTCGAAATCCTGATCAGACCGCACCCGGGAGAGGTCCAGGGAGTAACGGTAACGGTACCGCTGAGTATCCCCGTGTCCAGGGTGTGTTCGGGAGGGCGGAAGGTGTTGGGCGCGAAGGGGATGGGCGTGCAGACGGCCCCGTGAGCATCTGGCATGAAAGTAGCTGCACCAGGCATACCATCCGCAACGCTCAGACAGACTTCCAAGACGTAGCTCAGTTAAGTTTCAATCCGAGGATCGGCGATTCGCGCGACACACCAAAAAGGGGCAGGAACGACGTTTCAGGTTGCTCAGTAAGGAATCCGTTTCGTTGGGGAGGGGCTCAGTGTTCTTTGATTGTTTTATTGTGTCCCTTAGGTTTTTCTTTGGCTTTCTCTAGGGGGTCGAAGTTTTTAGCTAATGAAGACAGGGGCTTCGATCCTAATGTAAGGTTCCTTGTGACAACGTTGAGACTGTAGGTAGTTTCTACGTGCCCATTTTGAGCAGGACACGCTGTCGGGAGGAGGCCTCGTTGTCTGCCTCGCCGCGGACGTCATCCGTCGGCCACGCGCAGAGGGAGGCATGGGGAGGGGGGAAGGCTGCTTAGAAGGAGGCTGCTTCTTAGAAGGCGCGGATCTTCCATCTACAGATGCAAGGCTGGCGCCAGGCCTCCTAGATGGGGTCGGAGTATAGATGGGGTCGGAGGATCGCGACGCATCGCCGACGCATCGCCGATGCGGCTCGATCTGGAGCTCAATTTGCTTCACGTCGACGTCGCCGATGCATTGCCGACGTCGACGATGCGTCGCCAGTGCATTCCCAATGCATCGCCGATGCGGCGCGATATCTGTTCCGACCCCATCTAGGAGGCCTCTAGGCAGTGCGTCCCCGAACGGGCCCGAATCGGGGCGCCACACTTTTTATGCAGCGCGGGCGTGTCTTTGCGCCGGGTTCTGGGCCATAGAAGTCGCGGATGGAAACGGCTCGACAAGTGCCGCGGGGGATTGTTGGGATTCGGTTTCGGCAGTGATTGCGCTGACCCTGAAGGGGGACGACGATGACGATGACAACAACGACGACGACGAGGACGGCGAAGACGACGACGACGACGACCACGACCACGACGACGACCACGACGACGACCACGACGACCACGAGGACGGCGGCGGCGGCGGCGGTGACGACGATGACGACGGCGACGACGATGACGGCCGACGGCGACAGCAAGTAGAAACGATAGAAAACGTCAGGCAAATCATTGACCTCACTATCTTGGGGTTGGCTGCGGTTGTGATCTCTGAGCCTCGTGATATTTTTTGCTCGACTTCGGATCCACGTGGTCCCCGCGTCGTCGTCGGCGTCGTCGGCGGCGTCAACGTTGGCGTCGTCGGCCGCCGGCGTCGGCGGGCGCCGTCGGCGCCGTCGGCGTCGGCGTCGTCGTTGGCGTCGTCGGCCGCGGTGGCATCGCCGTCGGCGTCGTCATCGTCGGCGTCGTCGTCGGCGTCTGCGTCGTCACCAGCGTGGCGTGCGCTGTCGGCCCTCTCAGACCTCCTTGCGTCGTGACAGAAAAAAACTGCGGGAGGCTCTCTGGCCGTCTTCGGCCCCTGGGGCGGCCTCCTGCCGGGGCCCCAGGGCCATCACACAACGGCTTGGTTCGAGCGAGGCTGGGGCAAGGGTAAGGCCGTTCCTCTCAAGACGGTCCCCTAGGTTGCAGTCCGTTGAAGCAGTCGCCGGCGTTTCTTGGTGTTGGCCCTCCCCGATCGAAACGTATCGCGTCGCGCGGGACTAGGACGAGTGTAAATCCGTTCCACAGCCTTCCTGAACGCTCTGAGACGGCCGCGGCGCCCGAGACATCCTCCAGAGCCGCCGGATCTCAGAGATTCCCCATGATTGTACCCTCATCCTGGCTTCGTCTCAGTACGAGACCTCGTTCCAGAACTCTTTGAGCAGGCCGCGGCGCCAAAGCCGCCGGATCTCAGAGATCCCGAATGTTCCTCCCCCGCTGTTTTTCCCTCGCCCTGGGTTCGTATCTTCGGTTGAGGCCTCCTGGGCCCACGTCGGGGGGGTCTGGGTCCTCTCCTTTCCCATGTTCCTCTCCTTTTCCCTGTGGTGGGTGAGCGGCGGCCCTCGTCGGCGCCCCCATCGGGGATCGGGGCTCTGCCCCAGACACGTGAGCGACGTCGTCATTCTCCTCCTCATCCTTCTCCTCCTCTTCCTGGGGTCGCGCGTATGAAGCGCCCTCGTTTCCACACTGGCCCGCCGCGGTGGTGGCCCGCGTGAGCCACCGCGTAAGGTCTTCTAGTTCACTACACGTCATCTCGCGCAAGACCTGTTTGTTGTTTCGTCGCGTATCGTCAGAGCCCCAAATCATCAGGGGTAACTCGGGTCAGGGCTAACTCGGGTTCGCTTTTCGGGATTCCGAACCCGAGTTACCTCGGGCCTCAGTTACCCCGGATAATTCGGGCGTCCAGAGCCCCAAATCGTCAGGGTTAACTCGGGTCAGGGCTAACTCGGGTTCGCTGTTCGGGATTCCGAACCCGCGTTACCCCGGGCCCGAGTTACCCCGGATAACTCGGTCGCCCAATACCGATGGCAACCCGATGGCAACCACCGATCGGGGGAGCGTAAGACCCGGGTGTGCCGGGACTCGGGTTCGCCATCGTTTTTTGACGACCGCGACTCGGATTTTGACGAGGAGGAGTTTCGTGGGATGTCTGCAGCGGGAGGCCTCGTCAAAATGCAGGCTCGGCCTCGTCATTTTTTTGACGACCTCGTCGGGGATTTTCGAGTCCCCCGTACCCGGGTCTTACGTCTCCCCGAACCGAGGCAGCAGCGTGGCCACCGCTCTCGGCCCCCTTGGGTGGCCGGTGCCCGGGCGGGGGCAGCAGCGAGCGGCTGCGGACGGCGAGCCGTGCCCGGCGGCCGAGGGGGCGAGAGCTCACGGCAGGGGGCGGAAAGCAAGCCTCCTCCTCCTCCTCCTCCTCCTCCTCCTCCTCCCTCCTCCCTCCTCCTCCTCCTCCTCCTCCTCCTCCTCCTCCTCCTCCTCCTCCTCCTCGCCGCGGTCGCGCTAAAACGACGCTAAGATCGGGATAAAATCGGATCGGGAGAACTCGAAATCTCCGAGCATCGGCGGGTTTGGAGGGTGTATTGGGCGCCGCGGCCGCTCCAGAGCGTTCCGGAACGCTCTGGGAGCGCTCCGGAACGCTCTGGAGCGATTTATCCCGATCCTAGCCCTGTTTTAAAGGGGTCGAGAGCTCCCGGGGCACGCGTTTCGCTCCCAAACAAGTCGCGCCGTTGCATGGTCGGGTCTCGGCCGAGGATGGCCCAACCTATACTGCTAGCCTTGCTCCCCAGAGATAATTTCGGGCACCAAGGAGGGGCCGAACTACTGGAGGGTCTGCACGTGTCGGGCCCTGGGAGGCGATACTCGTTCGACGCCGTGTCGAAAAGTTCCTGGGCGCTCGAAGGTATTTTTGGGATGTGGTCCTCGAGTACGATGGGAGCAACAGAAGTCTCGGCTCCTTCACGACACACCCGTGCGGAGGATGGGGCCGACAGCCGCCAGGGACCTCCCAGAGCGAAGGCCGTTCGATGCTGAGCTGCTCGTGGCGAGACCAAATACCGGGGCTCACGGCGTCTTGGCAGGAGTGTGCCGTGGCGACGAGCAGATAAGGCGTCCCAGGAATCGAGAAGGGCCAGTTGAGACAACGGTAGTTGGCCTTCGGGGTGGGGAGTTTCGTCGCCACGACCTGACGCAGCTTGAAAGACTGGCGCGTCGTCTCCATTCGCCCTGCTCTGGAGGACTCGAATTCACGATTCTGGAGGTGAACTTTTTTTTCGTCGGCGGCGAAGCAGAGGCAGTCCGCACCAGCGCGGGGCAAATCGGGGCGATCGAACGGCGAATTGTCCAGCGTGCAGGAGGAGGGAACGAAGACCCGGGCGGCCGTGCGAGGGGAGAAGGGGGATAGCGCTC